AGAAGGACAGGGAGACAGAGAGAGGGGGGGGGAGATAGAGAGAGCTGCCAACGGCTCTCCCAGTCGACGTCCCAGCTGCGGCGGGCGGGCGGGGGGGTCCGCCTGAAAGTCCGTGGGCCCTACTCCGCACGGCCGTGGGAGAAGAACGGAGGGGGAAGGAGGGAGATCACACCTCTGGCGAGCAAAGGGCAGGTGATGCAGCAACGACGTCGTCTTCACGAGGATCGCGCCACGCACTGGCCTTTCACCCCTGTCTATCTGCCACGCATGTGTCTCCCGCACGCGCACACTCCAATCAGATTGAAGTCAAAAGAAGAAAGGAGGAGGAAGAAGAAAGGAGAAAGAAGGAGGGTTGCAGGTGAATTGAGCATCACAAGGTCACGAGGTGTTTGACAGAGTTCTTCAGGGCGGGACGAGGATGACGCATCACATCAAACTCAGCACACATCACTGGTGTCACCGTACGCCCTTCTGTCCGAGGCCCCCTTCTTATAAGTCAGTGCAAGTGTGTCTTCCTTCTCCAGCTAACGTCCGCTGAAAAAGGAGCACACCATCTGTGGGGATGGGACTGGCTCAGGACCTAAGAGGACTAGGACTGTGATCCTCTTCCAGCCATGCTTTGGGTTTGGGGCGTGGGAAGGGTTGAGCTGGTGGCCACGCCACAGGAGTCCCAAGACTGGGACGGTGAGAAGCGGATCTGCTCTGCGGTGGCAGCGACCAGACTAACGCTTGCCCGCACTACGTTACCACAGACACCGAGATTGAGCGAGAATCCCCCTCGATACACGTAGCTGGCAGACCGACTGAGAAGAGTATGCGTGTGGCGCCGAAACGCGGGAGCAGTCAGCATCGAAGCGATGAATCGGATCGGGTCGAAACGTGCGTCGGATCGGGCCGCATCGGCACGGAGTCGGAATCGAATCGGATCGACCGCGCCAGGATACACGTCAATGCCATGCGAACATCGATCCATACCGGATCGCAAGACTATCAGAATCGAATCGGATCGGGCCAGCCAAAATGGATATCGAGTCGGGCCTATCTGGTCGTGACGGACCCTGAAAAGAGAACACTGTTTCGAAAATTAATCGCCATCCGTCAATGTAGTTGTCGAACTCCCCCTTTGGCATCATTAGATCGAGGGAAATCCCAAACGATAACCGATGTTTGAAAGCCGCCCGCCCTCCACCGGTGCAACAGATGGATGCTTTGAGGCATCTTGAATAATATCTCAGGCGAATGCCAACTCCGTAAAGCCACACGCCCTCCATCTGTGCAATTGCTGGAAATGACGAGCATCGGGGTAGCAAATGGGAATTGCCGTACAACATGTCAGAACATAGGAAGAATCCAATAAGTTCCAGGCAGAAATCGGAAACTCAACACATGTTGCTCATCCACTTGACTGTTGGAATGCCCGACCGTTCTGGCCACGAACATCAGGCAAAACGCCCAGACCGATCCAATGTCAGGTGGTGCGGCGATTCACACGTATGGCGTGGGGGATGGAAGAAAGAGATACCTGTTGTCGCATCGTATTTCTCGCTACCTTGCCCAGAGCAGACGCCCACTGGCAGCACAGGAGAGGGGAGGGAGGAGGGACGGAGGAGGAAGGACGGAGGAGAGAGGAGGAAGGGAGCGAGGGAGGGAGGGACCAGGACACCCCGCGGCTCGATTTGTTCTGAAAATGGGCCCCAGGACCTCTCGAGCCCTTCCCCAAGACTGGCTGTTCACCCTGAGTCGGAGAAACCGCAAAATCCTTCGACGACGATGACGCAGACGACGACGACTGACCACGACGACGACGATGACGACGATGACGACGACTGGAGACGACAAAGCCGACGCCGACGCAGACGCCAACGCCGACGCCGACGCCGAGACCTACGCTGACGCCGACGCCGACGCCGACGCCGACGCCGACGCCGACGACGCCGACGCCGACGCCGACGCCGACGCCGACGCCGACGCCGACGCCGACGCCGACGCCGACGCCGACGCCGACGACGACGACAACGACGACGACGACGACGACGCCGACGCCAACGCCGACGCAGACGCCGACGCCGACGCCGACAACGACAACAACGACGACGACGACGACGACGACGACGACGGCGCCGCCGCCGCCGCCGACGACGTCGGCGACGGCGACGGTCGACGACGGACGACGACGGACCACGACCGACAATGACGACGATGACGACGCCGACTGCCGCCGCAGCCGACGCCGCCGGCGCCGACGACGACGACGACGACAATGACGACGACGACGACGACGACGACGACGACGACGACGACGACTGCCGACGGTCGTGGTCGTTGCCGTGGTCGTCGTCGTGGTCGTGACCGTTCTCGTTGGTCGTGGTCGGCGGCGGCAGGCGCGGTCCTGCGTGGCCAGCGGGCCATCGCAGCCGCCGCTGGACCAGTACGCTGCCACGCCCAGCTGGCACGCGACGAGGTGCGCGTTCTGCACCGCGCAGGCGACCGCCGCGACCTCCTCGCCGAGGGGCCCGCCGCCCGCCACGGCCGCCGCCGCGGCGGCTCCAGCACTGGAGAACAGAGCCGACTCGTCGCACCGCTCGTGTCGAGCCTAAGTCGATGGGTCGATCGATGTGGTCGTCGTCGTCATCGTAGTCGTTGTCGTCGGTCGTCGTCGGCGTCGGCGTCGACGTCGTCGTTGGCGTCGGCGTCGGCGTCGGCGTCGGCGTCGGCGTCGGCGTCGGCGTCGGCATCGGCGTCGGCGTCGGCGTCGGCGACGTCGTCGTCGTCGTCGTCGGCGTCGGCGTTGGCGGCGCCGTCGTCGTCGGCGTCATCATCGTCGTCGTCGTCTCGTCGTCGTCGTCGTCGGCGTCTTCGGTCGTCGGCGGCGGCGTCGTCGTCGTCGCGGCGGTCGCTTGTGCGCCCTGCTCCGCGCAAGCGACCGTCGCGACCTCCCCGCCGAGGGGGGCTGCCGCGTGTCGTCGCAGACTCTCTTTGCAGGAAGGTTCTGTAAGTTATTCATTGCCTTTTGTTACGCGTCGGACGTGTTGGAGAGGCCTTTCTGAGTGTCCTTGTGCACTCTCGCGGCAACGGCTGGATTCGCCTCTCAGTTCTGGGAGCGCGCAACGTGGTCCCAGACCTCGGTGTCGCGGAACACATCGGGACCGACGTGTTTCCTCAGACTGGACCCCTGGGCGCCCGTCGCCGTCCGATGGGCGCCCTGGGGGTGGTGGTGGTAGCGTCAAATGTAGGGAGAGCCCTGCGACACCCTATGCACAATTGCCTGGCTGTCCAGTTTGACAGCCTTCACACGTGTGGCATCAACGCAAACGACTGCAGCGTCGATTGCCAATCGCCACTGGCATTCAGTGCACCATTCGCCGAGGCCGCATTCGGCTCATGAGCGCCTGGCAGTACGTTTGCGAGCGTGGACCCCATACAGTGGGTTACTGCACTCTCGATATAGATCACATGTGGTGCAGCCCATCGGATGCAACCTGAGTGTTGGTGCAAGATGATGTGGTATACACTGAACTGAGTACATGTGTTTCACTTCGAATGCGACCATCATCAATGCCCGCCGTCAACTCCGACACTGAAGCAAATCACACACACACACACGCACACACAAAAGCTGTTGGCAAAACTCAACTGGCGCAATGACGCAAGGACCCTTATCATGCAGATCCTTGACTAAGGCGGATACTGATGATAGTGGTGGCGCTGATGACGAGGACGACGGCGACGCCGATGGCGATGCCGATGACGATGACAATGATGCTGATGACGGCGGTGGGGATGGTAACGACGACGGTGACGGTAAGAGCAAGCAAGAGCCCGCATCGAGGCACCTACGAGGGTACGGCGGGAGGGCGCCCCGGTATGACTCAGAAGCTGGAGCTGAACACTGGGAGCCGGGGTCGGGGAAATGGTAGCCGGAGTCGGAGAGATGGGAATGGGTGCTGGAACCGTCTTCGGAGAGTTGGGAACCAGATACGGCCTACTGCTCACTTGATGGGTTCATTACTGTACGTCGTTCGCGATGACGAGCCGCCAAAGACGGATACACGAGACTGGAGCCAAGGCTGGCGTCGGAGAGATGGAACCCGGAATTGGAGCTGGAGCTGGAGCCGTAAAGATGAGAGCTGGAGTCGGGGCTGGAGTCGGAACCAGAGTCGGAACCAGAAAGATGAGAGCTGGAGTCGGAGCAGCAGTCGGAGAGATGGGAGCTGGAGTCGGGGGGGAAAAAAAGTTGGAGCTGGAGTCGGAGCCAGGGTCGGAGAGGTCAGAACTGGGGTTGGAGAGACAAGAACTGCCGCAAGAGTCGGGAAATTGGGAGTCGTGCCGTCGAACCGCTCGCGAGTCGTGCGGCTTGCGTCGGGAATCGGGAGTCGCGGGAGTCGTGCCACGGTCAAGGTCGGCGCACGAAACCATCTTCGAGGGTGATGGTGATGACGCTAAATGGTGATGATGATTACGCCAGTGCTGATGAGGACGATGAGAACTGCGCGCGCAGAAATTATGAGTTCTATGATAGACTGCTCGAAAGACTATTGAGCTTACATCTGTGTTTGGGGACCTCTATGGTGAAATGCTGAGAAGCATACAGTGTTCAAAGGGTTTCGTCGTGCGCGGGCGGAGACGCGCGCTTGTGGCCCACACGGTATCGTTGAAAAGAGCAGGCGGGCGCGCCAGAATTTCTAAACCAAGTTGGCATGCGCGCGCGCGTTCGACCCGCATGGTCTCTTGACGAGGCATCAAGAAACCGAGTGCCCTGGTGTGATTCGTCGAGGGCGCGCGTGCGCAGAAACCTAGCATCTGCTGATTCTCAAGCATCTGGTGTTGGATATTGGCCAAAAACTCATAAAAACCATGGTTTTTGCAGGGTGTCGAAATTTGCCCGCGCCGATGGCCCAAATGCGTTGTTCGATTAAGGTTATGACTAAGGGTACTTGTTAGATCAACACATGTGAAGCCGCACTGCACTACTAGACAAGGATTAGAGGGGCGGATACTGGCCTCGCTGACAGTTCACTGCCTGCAATGAAAAAGTGATCGGCTGTGCAGATTGGAGATGAAAAAACAATACCGGAGGCGAGGGGATGACCCCTGGCCTCGGCGTGGGGGCAGAGCCAAATTCTTCTTTAGGCGCAAAGATACACGTGGTGCAATCAATGCGGCGCGCAATCGATGTCGTGCAAGCTTTGTGATGCAGCCTCAGTGATGCAATATACGTGGTGCAATATATGTTGGGAAACTTGGAATCGCCAAATTCACTGCTCGGGCAAACACCCCACCCACCCACACATAGTTTGCCAACCCGATTGCCGCAATGATGGGAGGACCCATACCGTGCAGATCCATGACTCGGGTGACAGCGTGATGATGGTGGCGGCATCGGCGACGACGACGATGACGTTGACGGTGGTGGCGATGATGACAAGGACGACGACCACGACAATGACAACGACGACGCTGACGGCGATGGTGGCGATGACGATGACAGTGATGGTGATGACGATGATGGTCATGACGGCAACATTTGCAGTGGTGACACTGGCGAAGTTGCTTATGAGGATAGTAGGTGCGCGCGCAGAGATTCTAACCAAAATTTCGCTGCAAAGCTAGACGTTTCCTATGTGATGAGCACGTATATCTTGAAATGTTTCGAACCACATGGCTTTGCCATGATTTCGACATGCGCGCGTGAGGACGCGCGCGTAGCCCGCATAGAATTAGTTTGCAGCTTTGGCGGGCGCGCGATGACTGATGATTGAGTTTGACATGCGCGCTCGCGCGTCTGGCCCGCATTGGCTCGGTTAACAAAGTGACAGGAACATTGTGGCGTTCGTATCGATCAGCTAGTGCACGCGAACAGAACCCTGGCCGTTCCTGATGTAAAGCACAAGTGCTGAAAGTGTCGATCCACAGTGCTGGAAAAATGGTTTCGGACGTGTGACATGTGCGCGCCGGAGGCCCACATGGTACTTCTTCGCACGAGCTCATTGGAAAGGCACTTGCAAAATCAGAGGGAGTGCTCCGCACTGCAGCATCTGACGGGGACGAGGGACGGGGTCGAGAAAGGGCCTGGTCTTAGGTCGGGCGTGTCCCCCTACAGGCGGATTGTAGTAAGAAATAATCAAAAGATACCCCCACATGGTTAAACAATTATGCAAAATATCGTCCCCCATACTATTTTTGGACTAGTTTTGCATATTCCTCCTGTAGAGGGACAGACCCGACTTAAGCCTGGTCCTCTCCCGTGCCCCTGCCCCCAGCCTCCTCCCCCTCTGGAGGAGGAAAGGGCTGGAGGGCAAGGGGAAAGGGGGGGAGCCCGCAGTCGACGTACGGTCCCACGGCAAGACGACGGCAGGACAAGGACACAGGGCGGGGCAAAGACGAGCCGCGAAGCTCTGAGAGCCGGCGGGTCTGGAGGATGCAGCGGCCGCCGCGGCCAACCTCATGGAAAGACTTTCGAATGAGAGTGACGGGCTCGCTTCGCACGTCCGCACGGATATGTTGGATCGGCGCTGACCCCTCTCCCTGGAGCGCGGAGCGCGCCGGAGGCAGCGCTGGAGGCGCCGCCGGGAGGTCCAGCGCAGGTCCAATCCATCCGCGCGGCCCTCCGAAAGTTGATTCGACTCATCCCAGGCCTGCCTGGCAAGAACCGCCCATGAGGGGGAGCCAAACCTTCGACGAGCCAGGCTTGCCTGAGTATCGTTGAATCGATTCCCATCCCCAGCGGCGTGGCCTGGGCCCCAGTGGCCGATGTACCCCCTAAGGGGATATAGATCGTTCCCTTCGGGTTTCGAGGGGTGTATCCCCAACTGGGGTGGTAGTTTAGTGGGGGTCTCGAAGGGAATGGGGATGAGGATGGGGATCGATTAAACGATACTCAACTTCGTCGTCCCAAGCCGTGCTCTCGACTGCTCCCAGGGCCTGGAGGCGGCCCACCCGGACAACGAGAATGGCCCGAACCCTGCGTCGAGGCGCTCGTCCAGGAGCTCTCAGAAGCCCCAAGCCAAAAAAGCAGGAGGGCATATTTGTGTCCTTGCCCTCCCCCTGCTCCTCCTCCTCCTCCTCCTCCTCCTCCTCCTCCTCCTCCTCCTCCTCCTCCTCCTCCTCCTCCTCCATCCCTTTTCCTTCTACATGTATCCTCCCTGTTGCACCCGAGACGTGTCGGCAGGGCGAGCCGGCCGTTTCGCCTGAGACTTCCTCATCATTCGTCATCCTGGAGCTTCAAATGTGCAGCAGTCTCACTGATGGAGGGCGGGGGGTCATATGTGGCTCTCGCCTTAGCGCCGCGCACGTTCGTCTCAAAAGTCTGCAAAAGCTTCACGGATGGAGGGCGGGTCGTTTCAAAGTGGGGCTCTCGCCCTAGCGCCGCGCACATTCGTCTTAGGAGTTTGCAACAGCTTCAAAGATGGAGGGCGGTACCTCTTCGAAATGTGTCTCTCGCCTTGGCGCCCTGCTTAATCGTCTCAGAAGTTCATCACAGTTTCAAAGGTTGTTATGGTC